TAAGTTATGGATTGTTTTCGTTTAGTTCTTGGGCACCCAAGAAGGAAGAGACTGGCATTCTCGAAACGCATAAATATGTCACTTTTCAAAATAAAGCAATGTCTTCTGTTTATTCGAGGTGCAATATTAAGCTAATCTCGGACACGAAGGCTAGGAAAGAAAAAAGGTTGCGTGGACCTGGAGAAGAGAAGACGGCCACTAGCTTTTCAGTGCGTCTCGGTTTCAGGGATGTGGCTGGTGCGCCCCCTACTGGTGGATTCGCTTTTCCAAGACTATGGCTTTTACCTTTAATAGAAGGTGTTTGGAAATAAAGAAAAATACATGAGGGGGATGGGAGGAAGATCAAATTACACATACTCTAGACAAAAGGGAAGTTAACATACCGTATACGCTATGGAACCACGTCACAAGAGTCATATGTAATTTGCTTAACTTAGAAATGGACACATATAACCTCGAGATAAGTGGGAGGTTAAACCATGAGAAAAAGAGGTCTAAATTATGAGATTCAACATATGAATGAATTAGGATTGTCCAGACGCCACGAAGGGCAGACCAAGCATTCACTTTATGACTGTGTATGCATTGGTCTGTGCTTAGCAGCATTATTCCAAAAACTAGGGGGTGGGGGGAAAGCTTTTGGATAAGTAAGTTTGAAGATAAAACCAAGGGGTTGGTGTGGGTAATGGTGGTGTATATGTATTAAAATAAATATTAATAATGGATGGTTGTAGAAGCGAATGTTTTGAATTCTCTCTCCTCTCTTTCTCTCTCGCTCTCTCTCTCACTGTAGTAAGTAGTAAGAAGCACAAATTTTTCCTTGGGATGATATATAAAAGCTTTTATACATTCTCAGATGCATGTGTTTGTGCCTGAACTCTATAATAATTCATTTAAGAGGTTAAAGGGGCTGGCTAGGTCTTTTGTTAATTGTTTTTATCATATAAATAAGCTATGGAAATACATTACAATTGTGTTATCATTGGTTGCATTTATTTACAGCTTTATTTTAATTAAGCCTGCTGTACTTATCAAGGCAATAAACTAACTGGCTGGTGTTTATGCATAATAATGTGCTACGAAAGTAAGATTAAAGAAGATGGTGATAGCAGAAACAATTTTCTCATTAGATTTTTTTTTTTTTTTTGAACATATGAATTTAAAAAATCAGATCACTGGCCACTCTATTTCAACCCAGCACTATCACTGGCCTCTAAATATAATAACAACTATAACAATCACAATAGGTGATAGAAGCAGTACTGCTTTAGGTTTATAACACAGCTACAGTACTAACAACAACACACCATTGACTACTAGGGAATCAAAATAAAACTTGGAAGAGGGTGCTTCATTCTCCGAAAAGTTTAAAACGTTCCCATTGGCACAATTTATGAAAACTGAAAGTGCTTAATCTAAAGAGAGTGTAACCTTTCCCTCCCATGGGCAACAAAAAGCACACTTTCAGAGCAAGATTAGGAATTAAGACTAAAAATGCCTAATTTCTGAGATATTTGGATTTGATTTTGTTCTACTATAGGCCCCAGCCAAAAATCCTTAACTGATTAACTGTAGCTCAATTTTATTTAAAAATCTTTTGCACTGATATTTTTCTCCTAAACTCCCCCTCATCCTTCCTCAAGTATTATATCTGAAGCCAACTAACAATTTTGTGGATAGGGGACTGTAGACTTATTTTTTCTCCTTAGTGGCAAATAGAGGTTTAACTTGCAGTAATTAGGTGAGAACTAGCCAAGCATCTTACTATTATGATGCTTGTTAAAAAAAAAACGCTTCTTTTCTGCATCTGCATTTGAGTGTGTTCTCCTCTCTTAATCTTCTTATGGAAATGAAGGCAAACGGCAGGGAACCTGCAGAGTCTTGGAGAATGTCCTTGTTAACTGGAATTTCTCAGCATTGCTAATTAGCAGAGTTTGACGACGACCACCAGTATTGGGGGGGAAAGCTCTGTTTAACCACTCACAAACCATTCTGAGGAAGAGCAGACTAATTTTATTTTGTAATTAAAATCTGAAAAGGGCCCTATTTGACAGTTAGGGCTATGAGAGTTTTATCTCCCCGTGAAATAATTACTGCCTTGATAACTCAATTTTCTGAAAAATGTCAACTGTGGGCTCCAAAAGTTTTAATTTCATTACGTAA